TGTATGATTGGAAACAACGGAAAACTGTTTGACTAGAATATTGTAGCTAGTCAGTATCTATATTTTCCCGGTATGGTAATTGGCAAATAATAATGAAGAACACGGTGTTGTTAGAAATTATACTGCTTTCAATATTGTTGAACACTAAAATATTTCTAGTAGATAGTATATACTGGAGACGATTAACATACAGACAAACAACGATTTACGAATATCTACGTATACATCAATCATATCAGTTTGAGTTGACAATGTTTCAATCTTCAGTCGCAATCTAGCAGCACTGTTGTTGATATTTTGTCATTAAGTTACGAGGTCTTAAACGTCTCGTAGATTTATGAGTCATTCATTGTTGTGTGATGGTCACGCGGCCTCTTGAACCTTGCTTAATGAAGTTACAAGTGCCATCAGCGTGAAACTGCACAACGTGCTCTATAATCGTTAAGTACTCACGACATCATTTCAACGCATCACGTCTTTGAAAGCGGAATGTATTATAAATTAATAATTAATCATTGAATTGTGTGACAGAATTTCTTTTCTTTATTATTGCAGTAATATATATATATATATATATATATATATATATATATGTATATAGTTTTTTATATTTACTTTGTCATTTTTGAGTTTATTTTGTCATTCTGTAATTTATTTAATGGGTATTTTGAGTAAAATGCAATGTTTGTTAAGTTGTTACATTAAAGTTATAATGTATATTACTCTTGACAGAGGTCTTGCTCCCTAGATATATGCTCCCATTTTGCAGGACGACTGATAAAGTATGTGAAAGTAATGTAATCCGCAAAGTATCTCAATCAACATTTTAAATCTGAAAATAACGATATTTGAAGAGAGCTGAAGTAACTACAATCTTTAAAGATATCTAGATAACTGTGATATGTAGGATTTAGATAGAGAGAATAATAGATCTGGGATGCTTTTGAAATTTGAAATTTACAATTTTAATCAATATCAGCTAATTGCTCTGGTTAATTTGACGAATGCGAGGAAGACGCCTACCGAGTAGGCAATTCGCCGCACAATAGAGGCGAGCACCTGCGTCTGCAGGCGTCAAGTTCTAATTTTATCCGTGCGTATTCCGAGGGAAACCAATTCCACAAAGATGAGTGGATTACGTTGTTTGTTATAGGAATGCTTCAATTAAATTGAGCAATGTTAGATAATGTTCCTCTCTATGAGAATAATTTTGTCAGCAATAGATAAATTGTATTTCACATGTATGTATTTATTTTTTGTGTATTTATTATAGCACTAACGTCTTTAAAACAAGTGAAACCAAGTGACGTATTGTATACGTTATTTTGGTAATGATAATTATTGAAAATATTTAAGGTGATATAATACATTGATAGATTTGATATATCCTTGATAGATCTCATGACCTCTTGCAAATTAATCAAACGTTCCTTGATGTTTTCTTTTTTGGCTTCACTGTACTGTACTTCCGTTCAGATTGGCTGACGTTCTGAACCGAAAGTTATCAATGGATTGTCTTGTTGAGTTGAAGGATGAATGGTTTTGGTAAGTTGTTTTCGAGATGAATTAAGGAGAATTGCGAGATGAAGAGAAAGAGAATGAGATCAAGATATTCATATATTAACGTCTCCTACAGCGGGACGTAAGACGCAGCTTTGTTCATAATCTATTGTTTAAATTTTTAAACCCTGTATGTAACACCTTAGTAACATAAACACCTACACATGCTTCAAAAATTGATTTATTTAAAGTTATTTGATTTCACCATTATGTTTTTCCTTTTTACTTTAATAATAATAATAATAATAATAATAATAATAATAAATAATAAATAATATTCATAATAATAATAGTAGATGAAATTATTCATAATAACAAAAACATATATTTATGTATAACTCATACGTGCATTCTATGAAATAGTTTAACTTAGTAGAGCATTCAATTATCTAGATAACCTTAAAAATTGTTTTATAACATGTTAGTAAAAAAATAATAATTTCAAAATCCATCACCAAATTTGTAACGAAACAATCGTAATTCTCTCAAATGTATTGTGTGACAGAGTATCACAGATTAGAGTGGACGATAGAATACGTCAAAATATATGAAAAACTGATTGAAAATTTAATAATAAAACGTATAATATTGCTCGTGTTTCAGAACATCCATTACATATCCTTATGGTAGGTACATTGAAATTAAAAGATAAGACTTGATGTGTTTCTATTCTCTTAAATACATTAAAACACATTGAATACGCGTTCATTAGTGATTATGTGCCGCTCAGAATGCATTATTTATCGACTAAATTATATTAGTAATGCAGATGAATCGTAACTCACGCAGTACATCAACCACACAGAAGATCGCCGCAAACTCGATTCCGAGAACTTACACGATGTCCGAATCTCCATATATGAATATTATCAGATTATACTCTACGAGAAATGGTTTAATATGTAGGTTTAGAAACATATATATTTACTTTGTATTCAGTATGTAATCGATACAATGAATTTTTACAACTTTCGAATCGTTTATGGTATCGTTTATCGTATACCGGCCGCCAGTTGGACAAGCCTGTTCTATCTCATTTGTTGCATCGGTGGTTGCTATTTGCGAAACGAGAAACGTATTTCTATGTAATTATTATACTTAGAAATATGGCTAGGAGGGGAAATATACATTGCTTTACTCTTTGCTTCAACAATCGAGAATATGAAAATAGAGATCCATATGTTGGACAGAATTGTTTACTTTGCTCTATTCGCAAGTTAAGGTACACTTGAAGTTGTAATGAATAATTCTTTTAGAGATATACTCCGACTTTGAATTATTTTGTATGAAATTTGTTGAATTCGAATTATCAACACTTCGAAATAATTTCAGACCAATACGCGGAGAAGCCTAAAAACAATTGCTGCAATCAAGTAATGTTTGAATGTAAAGTAGGTAAGCAACCATTAGTTGTAAAATGTATGTGTATAGATGGTTGGTAATACAATAAAAAAACATATATTGAAGACATTTAACCGCCGGACGTACTTATTAAGAATTTCCAGATTGCAATACAAGTGCTACGTCAGTTAATTTTTTAAGTTATCTGTAGTGGTACATTTGATGAGAGAATCATATTAATATGTGTTTTGAACACACATTAATTGTATTTAGGGGTTTTTTATTCAGCTTGCAAGACATTATTAGATGTACGTTTCCCTGATCCCATTATTTCATTCAATATTATACTTTAGAGGTAACTGTTTTACTCCATAGAAAAAATAAGTAACCAACTCTTGACGTAAACAACGCACGTAGTTGAGTTAAAGATGGGGAATTTGTATCAGTATTCGCCCCCAATTCTTCTAAAAAATCTGACAATATTCATAGACTGACTACATTTCATTCGGGAGTCTTTTCTATGCAACCTATAGCCGACACTGACAGCATCTGCATGGAATGGGAATGATACTTTAAGGACCAAACACCGTGATGAATCGCAGTACCATATTGCCCGAAGTTTAAAAACCTCTTCACTTGCTGAAATTCTGCATATCACCACACATCAAAAGAATACGTAACCTTAACGCGCGCTCGTATGGTCCCGGAACAGCGGGGCTACGATTACTAGTCTCCAAATAGAATGCGCGGGCACAACGTGTGAACAAATATTATTCACGAATATTTGAACGCTTTCATCTGAATGTTTCGTGCTGTATGCGACAATGATTTCATCGAACATTTACTTGCAGACTTGCATGTGATATTTAATCTCATTTATCTTTCATGGAGGGGGGGAGAGCTACAGGTAAAGTGACCAGCTGATATGATTTTTTATATAGAATTTTTCATTTATGCAGAAATAAAATGTAATTTTATTTGTTGGTTATTAACTTACAGTTAATATTTATAACGCAAATATTTGATGTATTTAATGACTTTCGTTAGTACAGAAAATTAGTAAAAGCTACAGTTTCGTAATTTGTATCATTCTCTTCTGGGAGGGACCTCCATATACACTTTTAGTTGCGACATTGAAAAAATGTGTAGTATTGATATCCTTTCGTATTAAATTCAGAATTCCAAGTTATTTTTCCCGTTTACATTATTTACCCAGTATTCCAGTTTATTTCACTAACGGATAAATTAAAATTGTATTTAACTAGCGACTCAAATCTCACCTTTGTTTTTGTATAAAGAGACATATTACTACTCTGATAGTAAATCTGGTTGTGAGTTTATATTGAAAAACATATAGAAAATCAGCCAATCAATGTAGTTCGTTAACATGTTTCTTCTTTAAAGAAAAATATTTTATTAAGTCCTCTTCGAAAGTGACATTATATTTCAGTAAGCGTTAAGGTATACACTTTAAATTTGTTGGAGCGATTTCGTGGAATTAATTCATATTTCATTTGCCACACCGTTCCATCTAGTGGTTTTCTCTTCGTTTCGGGAATAACAAGCCAAGTGAAAAGAGCTGAGACAACGCAAAGTAGGACAAGAAATAAAGTGAATCTAGGATCGAGGTAAGACAGCTGTAAAGACCATAACTGCAAGGCCCACGAAAATTTCATTCCCCAAGTCGTAGTGACAAATAAAGGTACCATGCAAGTCGTGAATTTCGGCGAGTAGATCTCAGTCGTGATGACGATTGGCAAAACTGCAACTGCATGGGAAAATCCAAAGAGAAAAACAAGGGCCCCTATCTCAGTGATCATGTCTGGATCTCCCATCAAAAGCTCTGTCATTCCCATATAAAAGAGGCCGATCCCACACATGATGTAACTGTATATAAGAGAGAACTTCCTTCCAATAACGTCGGCGGTTACAGCTCCTATAAATAAGCCAATGAGAATGGTTCCGAAAAACAAAAAGTGAATTGCAGTGTGAGAGTGTCTTAATCGGAACAGCGTCTCCAACGAGACGGGTAAACCAATTACAACCATCTGCTGGTTAATGCACAGGACGATAACGCATATAATCGCGTACCTCATACCGGGGTCTCTGAGAATTTCAAAGAAAAGGCGCTGCCCTTTGAAATCCATACTTCCCAACTCCTCCCAAGTGCGACAGAGCTCCTTGAAATCTCGACCAACTTCAATCCTTCCCCTGTAGAACTGCAAAGACTGAATCGCGTCTGCGGTCTTACGGCATCTTACGAGGAAGACAGGGGTTTCCGGAAGGCGAGAAAACGCCATGAAGTACGTGACCACGACGTACATGGCGATGGTGCAGAGGACGGTGCGCGAGCTGTAGGTGAGCACGGTGACGGCGGTGTAGAAGCCGACGTACCACGACATGAAGGGTACGTACTGGAACAAGGCGCGAGTCTCCGTCATGACGATCTCGCTGAGGAAGACGGGCGTGAAGACGGCGGTGGCCGCCGTGCACATGTTGAGCAGGACGTGCGCAAATTGCCAGTCGACGGCCGATTTGGCTTGGTTGTGCACCACGGCCAGCAGGAAATGAGGCACGGCCAGCAGGTAGCCGCCCATCTGAAACAGGAGATCGTGAAAGTTTCAGCTGAAACTCACTGGAGAAACTCCCCAAGAAAATGTAAAAAAATGTCATGTTTTTTTTTACTTTTTCAAAACTCAGGCATCAAAACCACTTCTTCTGCAACCAAGCATGGAAGCTACTACTTCTGCAATCAGGAATGGAAACTACTACTACAATGTAGAAAGTTGTGAAGATGTTGAAGATGTAATTACAACTCCAGCTTAAGGACCCAAAATTCAGATATCCATTTCGAATTCAAGCGACATCAGATTTATCGGGAAACACCAATTTTGGTATTTCCCTGCCTATGATTTAGCTATTAGCGTAGTTCACAGGCGGACAGTCAGAACATGTCTTTTGCTGAAAACTAATATTTCGATATACTACAGTCATCACAGGCAACTTGGACCGTTACGTTACTACTTGGACCCACGCAAAAAAAAATGTTTGCAGCGGTTGTAGTCTCTTATACATTGCATTGACCAGTTAGTGTGCAATTACTTCCGTTCAATGGCAACACAGTGCATCATTAAACGCGTTTAGCACAATTCGGTAGTACACCTGTAAGTTACAGCACTCTATTAAGTACTGGAGTCTCTGGGGTCTAAATTGGCCCCATTTGAACCCTGCAAACTTTCTTCTCTACACTACATTTCAAAATAGCTGATTAAGGGATCAGTTTACATTTTGGTAGTAATATGTTTGTTAGTTGGACGGCAATGATAACTTCGTTATTAGTAGAATGCCTTCCCCCTTTTTTCAGATTTCCTAATTGTGAGCACATAATTTCAAAAACCGGGCTACTTGAACCCGCGTTCACAGTGGGCTCAAGTAATCCACATCTATTTTTACCTTTTTAATGTGTTAATAGTTTCATTTCGATATTTAAAACTTCAACAACAGTGATTTTCTCTTGCTTTTACAGTAATCTGACCATTTTAATACACAAATAACAAATATTTTCTGATGTTGAAAATGTGCGGAGTATAAGGACCATAAGCTTGAATAATGTTTGACAGCAGTTTTCGGGAAAAATGTCACAACGACAAGCTGAGGCTTCCTTTATCGTCGATCGACTTATTAGTCGGGATTGAAGAAATCCATTCAGAAACAGGGCCATCCAAAATGTTTACTGAAGACGAAAAATTAGTTACCGTTAGGCACCGTTACCAAATCAGTAATTCCAGATTTCCTGTTGATGAACTCGCTTTCAGATTTATTGTGAAGTCTTACTTATCTATGGGTGGTATTAATGTTTTCGAAGGTAATAGGGCGAGAATGAATAAAATTATTATTTTTAGGAATACACAGTTACCGATAAAAACTTGGATAATAAAAATTGTATTTCAGCTATTGAAGTCATCTTCATGTATGTTTGTAGTACATTCATGTTTGTACAAGATATCTTAGGAACATATGCACCCAGTGAAAATCTCAGTGATATTATATACGAAAACATCGCGTGGGTTCAAGTATCTCACACAACAATGTAAATTGAACCCAATTTTCTAAAACTTTATTTGCGATTTGTGTTAAATATATCTTATCAAACTACTGTCGGGGACTTTACAATAAACCTGAAGATCTATAGAAAAAAATACATACTCTTTTTTTTAGTTTTTCAAGGATTAGTAAAGAAAAAACTACGAAACTATTGGAAAATTGGGTTCAAGTAGCCCGTCTTTACGGTACTCGTTAAGGGGCCCCAGAACGTGAATGATGATGGCACAACATTTTAAAGGAAGTTTATTACGACATATTGAAGCAACATCATTCCACGTTTTCAATTACACAACAATAACTCACTTTTTAATTTAAGGGAGCCAACGAGATTTTCTGACGAAAAATGCCGTTTTTAGCCGCAGCTTTACAATACTACAATATTTCCATAATACTTAAGTAGTATGCGAGAAATTAACCAGCGATGATACTAAATATTACATATTTCTCGTACCAGGTAGTTTCCTTTTCTCCTTGGCATCTAAAAGAGTACCAGGGCCTCTCACGGCACATACCGCTTCTCTCGTGATGAAGAGCACCATCTTGTGCCGCCAGCATCGCATAGACCAATCTCTGTACTGTACTTTCACTTATTTTCCCATTGTATTATTAGACCCAGCTCGGTTCTTGCACTATTGTTCTGGTTGTGGATCCAGTTTGCTAAGTTAAATACACAGATTATCGTACGTTGTTGCTTGTCAGCCCAAGAGATCATGGAAGGATTAAGGGAAAGATGTAATTCACTAGGGATTGGGAATTCCCGCTAGATCAACTAAAACAATCACGCCCCAAATCCTTGTCTCTACGTCAGTGATGTCAAGGTCAACGCCGCCAGCAGGAGTCCGTGGCCCGGCTAGCACGACGAAATTGCCACTCCACGAAGTTGATCACCTCCTCACAAAAGAGCAGAAGGTTATCAATGCTGCCCTGAACGCTTTTACGCTTTGCACAAGAAATACGATACGACTTCAAACTAACATCTACGATTTCACAGAAACATCGATGTTCAAAAGAACATTGACTTCAAACTATCGACGGTGAAAACATCAATGATGTCACAGAAACGTCAATGTTTTGCAAAAATAAACATGGATAGTACCTTGCGATTGACGAGGCGCATGAAGCTGCTGATGCCGGCGATGCAGGGCAGCGGGGCGCAGAACTGCAGGAGGAAGAGCGGCGCCGCGGGTGAGCATGGCATCACCTCCTCGTGGGCGGCGGCGGCGGCGGCGGCCGAGGCGTTGGGGGCGGCGGCGGCGGCGGCGAGCAGCGCGTCGGTAGACTCGGGCGGCAAGCCCCTGCGCTTCTCCAGGCTGTCGCGCAGCCACCAGGCCATCATCATGCCTTGCACCAGGTGCAGCAGCCCCACTGCGGACACGCTCAATGAGACAAAAAAATACTTGTTTGCGGACAATTGATTCCTGTATCAAGGACACAATCGGTTTGATTACAGTTATTTCGTGAAGGTTTTCGTTCATTCGTTTACTTAGTTTAAAACGGTCTCAACAGATATTCTGTTTAAAGCAGTTTGGTTGTGCGAGAGTCGCGCGTCCTAGGCACGAGTACCAGCGTTTCGGCCAACATTGTGCAACCTTCCTCAGGGCGAAAATGAAGGCGCTTTTTGCCCTAAAGAAGGTCGCAGAATAGTACAGAATAGTGCAGAATAACGTTGGTACATGTGCCTTGGACGCGGCGTCTGCCGGACAGCCAAGTAGCTACTTGCAGAAATTTACGTTCTCAGGAATCTGGAGTCAGTACGTTCTGATATTTCCCTGTTTCCATCAAACTCTATCTAGCCCACTGACCGGGAGACGCGCCATATCCTAGACAAAGATGCCAACGTTTTATCCTCCTTTGTCACCAGTGATCTTCCCTCCCCAGTAGGCGAGTGTTAAAAGGTATAATTGTATGATGAGTTTTCCATGCGTGAAGGGCTACAGCCGATTTATTTATATTATACTTCAAAACTAGTAAAAGAGGCTGTGGAAATTATCGAACCTCCCCGAAATCTTATAGCCAACCAAGGTAAAAGTCTTCACGATGCCTTCAAACATATCTTGTACCGCGACGCCGTTGCGCAGGCTGTTTCTGTAGGTCAACGTTTCAACCCCACGAGCGTCTACAGTGTGGTGTCAATATTTGTGTTTCGCTCAGACGGAGGATAAAGCATTCGTGACATTACTGGCTATCAACTATTTTCACCGTGCGGAGCATAGAAATGTGATCTGTGATGTCTCTTTATCTCGGCGAATTTTCTGTCGTTTGTGTCAGAGAGAGAGAGAGAGAGGGGGGGGGGGAAGAAAGGTAGAGGGAGTGGGTGTGGGTGTGTGAGTGTGCGCTCACGTGAGTGCGTGAGTAAGCGTCTCCCATCAAATATTTTTTATGAAAACTTATGTCGCAAAACCGTTAATGAACGAAAGTTATTTTCTCGGGTTATACGAATTATGTTGGTAATGTAAAATGGAACTCTCATTTAAATAATATTTTATTATCTTTGCCCTGCTGTGCTTATAAATTCTCTCAATGTTAAAATACTATTATATTAATTTCAATTTTAAATTGAATCATGGGTTTGACCCACAACGTTTTTGGTCTGACCTGCTGCATATCCATGTGTAATTTAATACAGAATTACGATTCCTGGAAGTTTCTGCGAAGCAAACTAATTATCAAATTGCTGGCAACTACTCTGAATTATTTACATTATTATTAAACATTATTATTTATAAGGGATTATTTGAAGCACTTTGCACACCAATACATCAAAGAATGCGTAATTAAGTGCTTTGTTCTCTATTCACTTCAAAAAATAAAATAGAGTTCGTGAAAAAATCTTCTTTAGTCAATTTTTGAAAATTAAAATTATTTCAAAACTATTTACTTTTTAAACATTTTTAAGACATTACTTAACGAGTTAATTAATAATAACAATAATAATAATAACAACCAAACGAATCGTTAAGATTCCCCCAAAATATGGAGACACCAACAGCTACTCTGGAGTAAATCATCCCTTATTAGAATACAGAGCCAAATTCATCGTAGAAACGAATCCGTTCAAAATGTATTACGACCTCCCAATACATACTGATAAAGTGATTCTGGAAAATTAAAAGTCATTCTGTTACATAATGTAAAGGAAAAGAAAGCGTTCATCACTGATGTTACACACTCTGCAGATCACGACAATAAAACAGACACAGACAAAAATTCAAAATAAATTGCCTTCTCAATGGAATATAAAGAAATATACAAACTTGTGTCTTTTGGGATTATACCAATTATTATAATAACAGCAACTTGCTACAAAATATAAAGTATTATTTGAAAAAATTAGATCTTCCTCACAAAATTATTCAAAAGCTCAAGAGTCAATTATATCTTAAACTTGCTGGATTGTTCGTACGGTTATAAATATGCAAAGGTAGAAATGTGGTATGCCTAAACTCCCCTCAAACTTATAATCCAGGATGAGAAGCCCCGAGAAAAATAACAACAATAATGATGATAATTATTATAATACTACTACTACTAATAATAATAATACATTAATATATTATATATTAAACTGGATGTGACTAGTGAAACGTCGACTGTGCTGCGAGATGAGGCTTATTTTAAAGCGTCAGACAAGAAATTTAAGTTCAATGATATCATCGTACAATTACTGTATTGGGTTTAACATCTTGCGATATAAAAATAATGTCCATCTAAAGGCGGCTCCATACATGTGGCATTCGGAGAATCTCGAGCAACCGCTCGCCGAATCCCTAGTAGTGTGAACGGGTTGTTTGCGTTTCGTCGAGCGCCGTACATTCAGTATCCACCCTACCCACCACGTGTCGATCTTTAGGACACATCAAAGGGACCAAACATTCGCCGAAAACATCAACTTATCGGGATTGGACGAGCATTAGTTCGCTGCTCGGCGAAGGCCAAAAGTGTAGAGCCTCCTTAAAATCATAGATGCCAGAATGCTCCATCTACATTCCACCCAAAACACTCGTACTTCAGGATGTATGTTTTTGTATACAATTCCTGAAATGTACTTACTATCCAGAAAGTAAAAATATATTTACGTAAATTCCGTCATGTAGCAGAAATATTTGATGCCAAATTGTGCATGGAAGCGATAATAGATAGATAGATTTATTAAAGTTCGCTTTGAGCTAATGCTCGGTGGCAAACATGATAACAATT